ATTTTTAAATTTGTAATTTTTTTGGATATTTCCCCCATTTGCGGGGAACGAGGGAAAATTTTTAAATTTTTAAGGGTAATGTCTTCAACTAGATACAATTTGTGATCTTTTGACGTATTGTTAAAAGAAATCGGTCCAGTGAGAGCTGAGAAAAAGTAGTGACAGACACAAAAAAAAAAAAAATGAAAAAATAAAAAAAAAAATAAACACATCATGGTAAAATTAATACCTTCTCAGCTTCGCATCGAAGCTAAAAAACATCTTCTCGGCTTTGCATCGAAGCTAAAACTTAAAGTATAGTAAAATAATTTTAATACGAATAAGAAATTTCTTCTTGCAAGGGGTGACTAAAGTGAGGGGATCACNTTCTTGCAAGGGGCGACTAAAGTGATGGGATCATTGATCTTTATTGAAGTTATTGAATCTAAATGAGTTAAAAATTTATACTAACTTAAAAAGAATTAAGAAAAAATGCAAAAAATTTATAGTCATACGCGGGTTGGAACCTCGTACCCCAAGCGTGTAAAACACAAGTTTTACCAACTCGGCAATCGTACTTTAAATAAGTTTAACTTTCTATGATATATTAATTTTAATTTGTATAATATTTATGAAAATCTATACTCCCCTTGTCAGGTATTTTAAAATAAAATAAAANTAGTAAAATTAATACATTCTCAGCATCGCATCGAAGCTAAATAATGATTGTTAGTTTCTCCTGAAATAACAATGGATTTTTACAATTATAATCAAATTTTATAATACACTCAATGGAGTAAATCTTTTTAACAATTTTGTTTTGATTGGTCCATTTAGTTAAAGTAAATCATTAAAATTAATGAAATTCTGAATATTTCAATTGCAGAATCAAAAAAAAAATTGAAAAAATTTCGAATATTAGCGATTTTTAAATTTGTAATATTTTTGGAGGTTTCCCCCATTTACGGGGAACGATGGAAATTTTTTCAATTTTTAAGGGTAATGTCTTCGACTAGATACGATTTGTGAACTTTTGACGTATCGTTAAAAGAAATCCGTTCTGTGACAGCTGAGAAAAAGTGGTAACAGACACAAAAAAAAAAAAGAAAATAAACACATCATAGTAAAACCAATACCTTCTCAGCTTCGCATCGAAGCTAAAATGGTATCCTATTCAAGATTATTTAAGTTTAGGTCTATAGGGGTGTATTTAAATTAAATTATTTGAATGCATATTATTGTGATAGTAGATCCCAAACTTGCCCTGCTTTCCCCTAATTAAAATGTTGATATAGTGCATTATAGTCTACTATTGTCAAACTAATTACGCTATCTACTTATTAAAATTTAAGTCTTATAAATACTACAACCAATGTGATACATAAAATAAAAATAAATAATGGGAATTAACTGAAATTTTAGCTTCAGTGATCATTTTCTTATCGTTAATAAATCATCGAAATATTATTCTTTTTCATTAATAACGTACGTTTTAAGTAATTAATTAAACTAAAATCATTTTTTTTGTAAAAATTTCGAAATATTATATTAACAGTCGATTTTTCATACAAAAATCGGCAAGACAATTATTTTTTTTTAAATTAATTTTTTGTGAAAAAGTTGTCATTTTAAATCCCCCCTTGTGGGCAGGTTAAGGGTTAAATTTATAAAAAAAATATACCAAATGAAAGGTAATGATATTATGCATCTATATAAAAAATATTTATATTGATATGTTCATTTTTGAAAAAGTTATGGCACTTTTAAGTAAAAAAAATTGAAAAAATTTCGAAAATTAGCGATTTTTAAATTTGTAATTTTTTTGGAGGTTTCCCCCTTTTACGGGGAACGAGGGAATTTTTTTCAATTTTTAAGGGTAATGTCTTCGACTAGATACGATTTGTGATCTTTTGACGTATCATTGAAAGAAATCGGTTCGGTGAGAGCTGAGAAAAAGTGGTAACAGACACAAAAAAAAAAAAGAAAATAAACACATCTTAGTAAAACCAATACCTTCTCAGCTTCGCTTCGAAGCTAAAAAACACATAGTACAACTAAAAAGTATTTAGCTTCGCATCGAAGTTAAATAAAGACATCATCGTAAAACTAATAACATCTCAGCTATACATCGAAGCTAAAAATGTTTCTGAGTAAAAATTCTGGCCAGTTAACATAATTAAGATCTCAGATTGGCAAGCTGAATTTTCAATAATTCATATTAAAGAAATGGATTGTTCATTAATTTAATATTATATAAATATATATTAATTTTGATAATCTAGCAGAAACAAAAACTTTGTAAAATACTCATGAGTGTAAAACTATAAATATTTTATTATACTATTTGTTTCAATAATAGTTATCATCAAGTACTTTTATAGAAAAATAATTTTACATTGGAACAATTAAATAATTTTGTTTAATTTTCATAATAATTATAACAATGAATAATGTATAACATAATGTTATACATTATTGTAATCAACACTTTTTGTATATATTTTTATAACATTAAAAAGAGTATTAAATTATGTTAAAGTAGTATTTTATCATTTTTTTAGGAAATAAAGCAAATAATAATAAATTGAACTTTTAAGGGAAGAAATAGAGTATTGAATAATACATTTGTATTGATTTTAGTTAAAAAAAATCATTTATTTATATTACATATGTATACATAGTCTTCATCAAGCAATAAAATTTTACATTATTCTATAATAATATATTATTTTTAGGTAAAAATTCGAACACAAAATTTTACTTCAAAGTGTATTATGTATAAAAATAGAAGTGAGGATACACTTGTCAGTATCAATTGAGGGAGATGGCAATTAAGGGGGTTATGATTAATAGCTTAGAGCTTAGAATTATATTAAAATAGATATAAAAATATTTCTTATTTATTTAATTTTATGTTTTATACTCATACTTATAGTAATAAATTAGTAGAACACTGTAAATATATTTACTTTATTACTCTTATAAAAATAAAAAAAATTGATATTACAGATAAAAAAAATCAATATCAGTTTTAACTCACAAACGATACAGAAAAAATCTTATTTTTCAATTTAATTTTCTTTGGTAAAATGTATATAAATATTTTTATAGGAATGAGTATGTTTTGTAATTTTGTACCTGACTTTGTCATATCAAAAGGAAACGATCCTGTTCCCCAACAACTTAAATGGGATGAGAAATATCCATGGGTAATGTTACATAAATTTTTATAATAATTAACATAATATTCGCCTTATTAAAAATATGTAGAGAATGTGTTATAAATACTTTTAAAGAATATTTTAAAATTAAAATTAAAAATAGAATCATTATTTTTTAAATCACACAATTACAAAAGTTACTAGTTTATCAAAAATTATATTTTTCTGAAATATTATTTTAATTAAACCAAATCTTTATTAAATTTTTTTTTTAATTAAAGGAAAACCTGCAAATATTGGAGGATTTTAGTAATAAAATATTTATACTACATTATATAGACCTAAAAATGCAATGTTAGATCATTATTTTGTGAATTTAATTTGTAAAATTTGGTAGAAATTAATATTATATGGACATTTTCACAGATCAATACTTTCAATTGTTCAATTTATACCCTTTATATTTGCTAAAAAAAATTAGAAAAATATAGTATAGGTCTATGTTTTATTAATTTAATAGAATATGCTGTTAATATTATTATTAAAATATGTAATTTTTTAGTTGGCAGTAGTAACAACTGCAGAACGTGAAAAAATTTATAACATATTTCAAATTTTTCAAAATGGGGAAAATGATAATAGCTTTGTTGAAAGAAAAAATGAGGATATGTGGCAAAATGTAGGTGCTGAACCAAGTCAGGAAGATTATGAACGTATTTTAAAAACACTTAAAAACGATGGTAATAAATCTTTATAATCATGATAACTTATTAATATCATTATAACTTATAACTTATAGAGTTTCATTAAGAAATAAGTCTAGAATGGCCGAAAAAGAACAGATATTTTAAAAGTTCAAACTTTATTAATTTTTGATCTAGTAATCTTGTCTTTCAATTTTCTTATTTTTATTTCTTAAGGGTTTTTATCACACAGACATTTTATAATAATACCTTATATAACATAATATGTTAAATAAATATAGTTTTTTTAAACTATATTTATTTTTCACTTTTTAGTTTCATGTTATGATAGTAGTTACTATCAATATCATGGTTGTAACGGGTAACGGGTAACGGGAAATCAGGGTTCAATTCCGGGGAAGGAGTCTGAGAAACGGCTACCACATCCAAGGAAAGCAGCAGGCGCGTAAATTACCCACTCCCGGAACATTGTGATAGTGACGAAAAATGACGATACGGGAATCATCCTTTGTAATCGAAATGAATACACTCTAAATCTCTTAATGAGATAAAAGCGTGTTAATGTATATTTTTAATAGTAATTAGAATATATACAGGGTGTTCAGTAAGTCACTTACTGAACACCCTCATTAGACAACTCATTGACAACTTAAATAACTTTTGATACAGTTAATATTTTTAGTTGATTTTTTTTTAAATAATAGTTATACGTTAGGTCAATAGCTTTATCTCAATAATTAATTTTTTTACAATTTATTAAAAATATTATTTATTTTTAAATTTTAAATAAAATGTAAAAAAAAAAATCTAAGATAGCTATTTTGTAGAGTAGAATTTAAGAAAAATTGAACAAGTTGAACTAAAATAGTGTTTAAAAATTCAACAATTCTAAATAATAAACTTTTATAAAAATCAACTTTAAAGGATCAAAAAAATAAGTTAAAAAGCAGATTTTGAATTGAAACATTGTACGGAAAACAAATTGAAAAATTTGGTTTAGTGAAGTTGTTAGCGCGAGTCACACTATAATATTGTATTTTATCTTTGTTTAGCTGGTCAGCAATGTATCTTTTATTATAAATCTAGTCAGTGTACGTTCCACCGTTGAACCAACAGCGACGCGCTCTAATATAAGTCATACTTGTATTTAAATATTGTCATTTAAGTTAATTATAAATAAAATTACGGAGCAAATATTTTGTAAATTATATTTATAGTTTGTTAAGTTTCATATTTATTACATTAATCAAACAAATTAAAAAATATCTTACAAATAAATTTAAGTGAGCGTTCTATTTATTAACGATTAATAATCCCGCTTCATCAACAGAAGTATATGATCATTAAAAAATATTTCATTGTAGTGTTATGATTATATTATGTAATTCAATATAAAAACAAATATTATACTCCTAATAATTTGAAGATATTTTTTTTTTTTTTTTATTAGCTTTCAATACAAATTATTATTATAGCTTAACAATTAAATAAAATGAGAAAATAAAAAAAAAAATAACAATAATAATAATAATAAAAAAAATAGTACAATTGATCTTACATCAACAAAATTACAATAAAATTACAGTAAACATCGTTAAATAAAAAAACCAGCTGAATGAATGAAAGAAATAACTAAAGATATTACATCGAGAGAAGTTGAGTTAAGAATAGTGTAACAATTAATAGGAGAGATATTAAGATGAGATAAATTATTAAATAAAATAGAACGATTACTTTCAAATGCACAGCAGTCAAAAATTATATGAGGAAAATCGTAGAGAACTTCATCGTCATGTTTGGGGCAAAAAGGAGAATTGTTAAGGCACATTTTGTACGCATGAAAAGGAAGGCGATTATGACCAAGTCTTAGTCGAGAAAAAGATAATATAAGGAACCGGGAGAGAGGAAGTTTATGGAACCAAGGATGATTTGGAATAGTTGGTGAAATTGATTTGTGCCAAGCTACGATGTGAGAGAAAGGAGAAGACCAATATTCTTGCTATGCTAGAAATATCGTCTTATTAAGGGATGAAACGAAGTCGGATGATGGAATATTGAGGGTTGGACGACGGGTAATGAATTTGGTAAGTTTGGCTAAATGGTCAGCCTCCTCATTACCAAAAATACCCACATGACTAGGACACCATAAAAATTCGATTTTTGTATTAGCTAAGAAAAGATTATAAATTAACGATTTTATTTTAATAATAAGAAAAGATCTGGATTTTTTGAATGAATTAGAAGAGAGAGAAGAAAGGACTGATAAAGAGTCAGTAATTATTAAAACATTAGAAATATTGAAGGATTGAATAAGCTCAAGGGCCGAAGAAATGGCATAACACTCATTAGTAAAAGAAAAAGATTGTGAAGGGAGAATATCTGAGAATTTAATATTATGACTAGGAATAAAGAACGAGAAACCAGCGGAATTAGAGTGACACGACTTACGTTGCAAAAATGTGGTCGACACTGGTTTTGAGGGTAGAGACCCGTGGGCCGTTTATTAAATGAGCGACAACAGATTATTTTAACAAAAATAAAACAAATCGAAAAAATAAACACGGTAATAATAATCTTCGCATAATATCGCGGCACTTTCTCTGGTGTCGACGACGCGATGTTTGGCGTAATCCTCAAACAAAAACTTAAATACAACTAGGTAATTATGTATTAAAAAAGAATAGGAGAAAATAAAAAGAAAAGAAAAAAAGAAAGAGAAAGAGAAAAAAAAATTACTATTATCATTTTTATTATTATAAACTGTTATTATGTGATGAAAAAAAAAAGTTAAGAATGTGAGACTCAATTAGATGGTTAAGGGAGGATGGGGTTGATAGTAATGAAGGGGAAATATTCGAAACAGCAGAGGAGAGTTGACTAGCTAGAGAAGTAATCCACGATTTTTCAGCAGGCTGAGCAAATGAATTACTAGACATATAATCGAGGAAAGAACCATTAGGTGAGGGCCAAACGTTATTGTTATTTAAAGCGGGAGAAAAGTATGGACAGGAAGAGAGTTGTTTTTATTATGATGTTCATAGTTTTTAGGTTTATCTTTTTTAGAAGATATGCTTATCAAACTTGGAAAGGAGTCCAAAGGAACAGGAGCACTGGTACTATTAGTAATACAAACATTTTCTGAAACACAGTTTGAAAAAGTTTTCGTCTTGTTAACAATATTATTTTTTAAAATGAAAGATGCGTCATTGTAAGAGATGTTTTCGGTAGCCATAACTTTTTTAATTTCTTTTTGATGCGCCCATTCTGGACATGAGCGATCCGTTGCTTCATGTGGACCTTTACAATGAAGGCAAACAGGGGATGATTTGTCTTGTTTGGGACAGTTGTTGAAAGAATGGTCATTGAGACCACAAAACGCACACCGCGCCTTATTTCTGCAAAATTTTTTAGTGTGACCGTATCGAAGACAATTTTGGCAAATAACAGGGGAGCGGATACTAGGTGTAACTAAAAATAATACTTTATAAATTGAAATTTTTTCCGGTAATTTAGATGAAAGAAACTTGAGTTCAACTAAGTTTGTCTGAGTAGGAGAGCTAGTGTCATGTCGTGATGAAATTCTGCGAAAGCCACATATGGAAACTGAAGATTCAAACCTTCCCAAAATTCCATTCCGTAAAAGAGGTATCCAAACGGATAATACCGTGTGAATAAATTAAAGTCGAAGGAATTGAGGCTTTTAAATTCATTTCATTTAGTAAATGAGAATTAAGGCATAAGTTAGCTGATTTTATAGAATCAAAAATAATTTTGACTCTAGAGCCGATTGGAATTATTTGTTTTATACCACAAAATTTTTTATGAAAAAGCTTTCCAATTTTTAAAGGGTGTAATTTTCCAATGTTTTTTGGTTATTAGTAATTGACTCAATGAGAATTACTGGAGACCCATTATAGTTACTCGAAAAGTTTTTGAGATTAGGGTCTATGTTTAAGCTGCGAGCATTTATATTTGAAGTAGACAAATTTAACGTTGAAATGGCATTATCAATAACAATGTTATTATTTTGTATTACATTATTTTGATTAGCAAGGTCGTTGGTATTATTCACGCTATTATCGAAATCCATAATATTTGAAGCGTTATTAGACGTAGAAATAGTGTCATTAAGATAAGCAGTACTAGCAACGCTATTGTCGGCGGACTCTTGGCTACCACATTGAAAATGTGTGTTAGATGGTAATAATTGTGGTTGGTTATCTAACAAGTACTGCCGATTAGGAGAAATCGGACTAGTAGATTGTTTTTTAGACTTACGTTTTGATCCAACAGTTGACCATTCGTCAGAATTTATACGGTTTTTGTGTAGAGTAACTTTTATGGGACCCGCACCATTATTAGGTGGACGGGCCGATCCACCCGGCGAATTTGGCATGCAGTTAAGTAATGGGTTAAACTCACTTAAGTGATTGTGTTAAAAATAAGTGTATTGAACTAACACGAAACTAAGAATAACAATAAAAATACGGAAACTACGAGAACGTAATAAAAGCAAGACTTATCGCAATGAAGGTATAAGCCGGACTGAAAGATATTTAATTTAAACATTTTTTTTGAAGTGGCCATCTTTATAATAGTATAATTTTGAGATATTTGTCTAAATTGCTGGAATAAAAGGATATTTTTCCAATATTTGGTGATTATAAGTTCAACATGATTAAAATCGTGTTCTTTTTGACGTATTGGTTATTAAAATTAATCAAGTGAGAGCTGAAAAAAATGGATGCCAGGCACAAAAACAATATAGTAAAATATATTAAAATGAATAAGAAATTCCTTCTCACAAAGGGAGATTACATTGATAGGGTTCTTGATATTCGTTGAATATTTTGATTGAATATTATTTATTATTATTCATTTTCAATTTTTTTTTCAACCTCAAAAAAGAATTAAGAAAAAAATGCAAAAATAGTTCTTTTGGCTGGCGGGTTTTGACTTCGTACCCTGAGCGTATATGATTGTATAATATACAATATAGCCACAAGTACTACATGAATAAGTAGATAAAAAGAACTATTTAATCTAGTTCAAAAATTCAAAGTCACTGTTCTTAACTTTGAGGAGGTAAAATAATCAAAATAAGTTTAAATTTATATTTAATGTAAGTTAGTTTCATGTAAATTTTATAAAAATTGATGTACTCATTGCTATGGCAAGCCCTTTAAAATAAAGATATTTTAAAATAAAAAAGAAACAAATTTTTCTTGTAAATAATTTATTACTTTAATTATTAAAGTACATGAATTTGTTTTTCAGATGAAATATTAAATTTTGTTCAATTTTTTAAAATAGCGTTATACGTAACAGCAAAAAAAAACATTATAAACCACCTAGAAGTGAGTTTTAATAAATTACAAAATGGTGACACAATATCAGTAAGTGAATTTCGAGATATCTTAACAAAATGGAATATAGATGCGATTTCTAAGAATGCAAATAATATAACTAGTATATTAGACAATACCAAACGATTGAATTTAAATGGTAAATATTATATACCTTTTTTTTTTACAAAATTTCTAAGTAATTTAATTTTGCAAACCTTATTTTTGATATTTTGTGGAAAGTAACTATAAGAAGAGTAAAATATCTCATAATTTCAAAGTCGAATTTTTTGAGTTACTGCTTTATTCATTGTGCATACTAATATATATATATATATATATATATTTTACGCACTATTAGAAAACAATTATGGAAGAGCTTAGTAATAATAGAAACAATGGTCATTTTTACCAAAAATAGAACGTTATTTTTTCTTTTTTAGCTTCGATGCGAATTAATTTTACTTTGATGTGTTTTTTTTTTGTTACCACTTTTTCTCAGCTCTCACCGAATCGATTTCTTTCAACGATACGTCAAAAGAGCACAAATCGTATCTAGTCTAAGACATTACCCTCAAAAATTGAAAAAATGTATTTTATTATGGAAAAATAAATTTCGGACTTTATTTTGTGATCACGGTGAAAATGGATACTGAATGCTATATAGATAATGCTCATAGATATCATTATACTTGACTATGCCACATCCCCACTGTGCTGGGTATTTTGGTAGTTGATCTTTTATAGGAGATAAATTATAGGTATAATTTCCAAGGACAATAATTTTAAATTAAAAAATGCTTAAATTACTACAAATTGTGCTTGTTAAAATGAGTGGATTATAGTTAGGTAATCTTATTACTTAAAAAAAACCAAAATGTTTTATATTCTTCATGTTTCAGATATCATCAAAATTTTGATATAAGAATGTATTTATTATGATAAATGAATGTAGAATGTTTTGAATAATAATTAAATAAATGAAAAAAATTTGATTTCTTTAATAAAATATTAATAAAATTAATAACATGTCTATGTTAAAGTTTTGTCATTAAGAATAAAAATAAATTTTGTTATTATAATAAAGACATACAACTCATTATGATCTCTGCGTTTTTTCAAAAATTAGTTTTTTTTTAATATGTCAGCCATTTGCACATAAAATGTAAGTCATTAACACTATTTTTTAAAATTTGTAGTATATTTTTGTAAGGACATTTATAACTATGTTCTTTCTTATTCAACGATTCGTCGTCTATCACCAATTGTCATCATTGCCAACTAACTCCGTTTCACTAACCTACTAACCATCTGTACTAGGATTCAGGTCAGACGTATTGTACATTACATATAATTTATAATTACTGAATATCTAAAATATAAGTTTGCCTTTTTGTTGACATAAAACATTAGTTTAACTTTATTATATAAGGAGTCTAGAAGCCAAGGGGTACAAGCGCAATTTTTTTAAAAATGGAGTCAAGTGCACTAACTAGTTGTTATGGAGTCAAATATTGTTGTGGCAAAGGGATACAAGTGCATAGGCGTGGGCCCAGGAACGGGACTCTTTGGAGTCCCGTCTAGGGTCCACGCTCCGAGTCGGGTCCCTGGTGGACCTGATGTTGGGAAGCAGGGAGGCGTGGAGGCTCGTCCAGGCGTTCGCCGAATCCATCTTGAAAAAGAAGGAGGAAGCTGAACGCCTGAGACAGAGGCAGCCGCGCCGACCGGTACAGGAGGACCTAAGGCGCTGGTTTAGGCCGGCGCCTTAGGTATTTTGTGTTTAATGTTATGTGTTGTGAGTTATTTTTGCCCCCCTCGCATTGAACGGCAGAGGCCACACCACGTTGTGAATCAGCTCTTGATTAATTTCGGGCTGATTCACAACGTGGTGGTGTGAGTTTTAAAGACGGCGTGGGCCGCCCTGAAGTAATACCTAACGGTAGTTCCAGGGCGGCCCACAATAATGCCGGTCGTAGAAAAAAAAAAAAAAGAGGATACAAGTGCATCACTGTACAGCAGGGGCGGATCCAGAATTTATTCCAGGGTGGGGCGTCATTAGATACATTTTTTTCTTTTAAGATTAATTATTTTGCGTTTATTACATTACATGTTTTTATTACATGATTATTACATTTCAATTTGAAAAATTCGTTTAATATTTGCTGCATAATAATTTTTTTAATTACTATAGTATATGTTTTTTGATGACTTTGAGGACATAGGTTTATAAAAATAAACTCGTTAATCAAAATTAATTGCATATGAAGAACTTTATTTGAAATGAAAAGCTATTTAATAAATAAAAACAAAATATACATTTCTTACAATATTATAACTTAACACCTAAGTTTGTAACAAATACTATTAAAATAATTAAAGAATAAAATCTAATTTTCTTTTTTTGTCATTAGCAAATTTATCAATGATATTTTTGATATTATGAATATTAATATTTTTGTGAATATACAATAAAGCAAGACCTGTTAATCTATCTTCACTCATTTTGGACCTAAACCATGTTTTAAGCAATCGTTAAAATTTAAAATAAAAATATATGTAGCGTGTCTTAAGTAAATAAATAACACGATTGCTTCAATATAGAGTTATAATACAGTATGTCAGTACATATATATATATTCCATTATTGATGTTATTTCGATAAAGCAATGAGTATTCCTACACAATTCGCATGCACTTATTATTTTTATCTTTAGATTTTTATATACCAAGTCCTTATTAAAGGTATTTTAATTTAATCAGTAAGTCAGTAGCTGAGGAGGGGGCGCGCACCCCCTGCGCCCCCCTCTGGATCCGCCACTGCTGTACAGTGCTGCTTTCTAGCAGATGGTATAAGTAATTTTAAGAGAGAGTTAAACTTCAAACTTCTTTTTCTCCATATCAACATTATATTATAATGTCTCAATAGTAACTGAGGTACACGATTGCCTGTGTCTCTTTATAGTAATTAAAATTTTATTAAGGAGATAGGGACAATATTTGGACAGACGTCTTATGGATTTCAATTCTTGTATATACCGCATCCCAATATTATAATTATGATTTAAATAAATTTTTTTGGGGGAGGCGGTGCTGTACCTTCTCGTGGTCTCCTCTGTTTAGTAATGTCATTGTTATCAAGTAATCTCAAAGCTACGCTCAAGAACTTTGTTTAATATATACATCGCCGACATTGAGGTAACCAAATTCAGGAAATTCACCTTTGCAGATGACATAGGTCTAGTAGCCCAAGGAAAGGCCTTTGAACAACTAGAAGAAATCCTGAACAAAGATCTAGACGTAATACAAAATTATTTCAAAAATTGGCATCTGAACTTAAATGCTAATAAAACAACAGCAGTGGCCTTTCACCTGAATAATCGTGAGGTAAAAAGAGAACTTAAACTAAGAATTGGTGAAGTCAATATTGCAAATGAAGAATGTCCTATGTACCTCAGGATCAAACTTGATAGGACGCTTACTTTTAGACAACACTTAGAAATAACAAAAAACAAAATAAAATAACGAAACAACATCATATCCAAACTAGCTGGGACTACCTGGGGATGCAGCGCAGGCACTCTGAGAACCTCAGCTCTATCCTTAGTATACAGTGTAACTGAATATTGTGCTCCCGTATAGACAAGAAGTGCCACTGCAAAAAAATTGACGTTCAGCTAAATACAGTAATGAGAACAGTCACAGGTACAGTAAGAAGCACTCCAACGCAATGGCTTCCTGTTCTCTCAAACATTGGACCTCCGGAAATCCGTAGACAAATAGCTACACAAAATATGGTTAGTAAAATTAAAAGGAACGTTAACCTGCCTATCTATAATGACATAGAACATCACCCAAATAAAAGGCTAAAATCCAGAAGCCCTGTTTGGGAAGTAAACACAAACGATAATGATTTACAGGCTGAATGGAAAAGAATATGGTTAGAGTCTGAGGTACGAAATTCATCACTAGACGGAGATCCGACGGTAAGAGTACCAGGTTTCAATTTACCACGTGCCTTATGGACCACCCTAAATCGTATAAGAACTAACCAGGGAAAATGCAATTATCTATTACACAAGTGGGGTATGGTGGATTCACTTTTATGTAGTTGCGGACATAAGCAAACCATCAGACACATAGTCGAAGAATGTCCATTAATGAAGTTTTCAAGAGGTATTGAGGAAATCCACATAGCCAGCTAGGAGGCCATCGACTGGATGAAAAACGTAGGCGTGCGTCTGTGACCAAGGAAACGCCAATTAAAACAATGAAACCATGAGTTACCAAATTATTGTTACCAAACTTAATTTAAATTTTCGACTAGTTGTAATTAAACAATTTAATTAGTACTAATAGTTTTAATTAATTTTTTTTTTTTTTTTATTATTATTGTAGTTCTATATTAATGTTATTCATTTATTATTTATTTTGAGCTAGCCGGAGCCATATGCTAATAATAATAATAAATAAATTTGTAAAAATTCGTATTTATGAGCTATCAACATAATTTATTTTTAGAGAGTCCACATCCTCCATGGAGGGTGGTGGACCGTTTTCACATGTTAAGTAGTCCAAGATGGTTCTTGGCTAAGTCAATGATAGACAGAACAGTTATTATGGCTGTCTTGTACCAGAAATCAGATACCACCAACGAGAAAATTACAAGTAAATCACGTTGGCACGTTGGGTCCCGTGCGCCAAAACATATGCTATTTCCCATTAGACCTCTTAATCACTATAGTAATTTCATAAATTATACTTATCTCAAAAATGCCACGACTACATTGTGGTACCGTTTTTTTTTTAATAAATATCTTATGTATTTTCTTTTTAATAGATATAATTTTTTGTAAATTGGACACTTTACTTGTCCAAAGAAGGAGAGTCAAAATAGTAACTTTTACATGAAAATTTAAAATTTTCAAATTCATTTTTGAAAATGTTTCAAAAATACTCCTTTAAAGTTAAGCTTTTGTTATAGACTATTAGTTAAAAAAAATTATTCCAACGACTTGTCTTCTACATGTAAATAGTATAATCAAATATTAATATACATTGCTCGAGCATACTGTTATTAGATAAATAGCCTTCGTATGTATCGCGCAATGTTTCGCTATTTTATTTTATTTCGGTATAGTCGAATAGGACACAATTAAAAAATATAGGTATACAATCCATTTTTATAGCACTGAAAAATGTAATGTATTATTGCGTCCTCTTTTCACGATTAAATAAAAAAAACCATAATGACTAAAAAAGATAACACTATAATAGGAAAATAAAAATAAGATAAAAGAGGTTCAAAAAACTTAAATATAGTTGAGAACTTATACTTAAATACAAAATAAACATTAAAATAAATAATACTTAAAAAAATGTAGTTGGAATCGTATCAAATATTAATCAAAATCTCCAAAAAAACCGAAATTGAATCTAATTTATTATTTATAAAACTTTTTTCAACTTGTAAAATGTCATTGAAAGTCTTGGCTAAAGAGTGGCACTAATAAATAAAAATTAAAAATTCAGTTAATAAAAAACATGTTGTGTCAACGAACATACTTCTGAAAGGTAAATATTTCTTGGCAAGTGAATAACAACATTTGGGGCAACTTTTCGGGCCAATTCAAAAACGTTGAAGTTGTTATGTTCCTGCTCTTGGACACATGTCTTTTAAAGTGTATTTCTCCTTTTGTAAATAATTAGGCCTGCCCCAAAGGGGTGCCATGACAACAACATTCGCTTTAAGTTAATCAGCCAATTAATAAAAATGGCCTACTATAAATTCAATACGTTTCTCAACTCAGTATATTTTTGCATTGTGCATTGCCATTCTAATTTTTTCCGGATTTTTGTCGATTGCTATGATTAAAAATCAAAATTCAATATGCATATCAATTTTGTTATTCACGACAAAGTTGCAATAATCATAAAAAATACTCAGTTAACTGTTATTTTAGTGTTTGTTATATATTTTGTTATATTTTTGGTAGGTTGTTATATTTTTATTTTCGATAATTAATGTATTAAATATTTTATTATTATTTCCTTCAAAGTCATCATTTCTCAAGTCATTAATTTAGATCGGTGTGTGATGGTTCT